TTATTGTTTATCACTTTAATACTATCTCCCATTCAAATGGAAATATCAATGCAATATTTGATACAAAAACTATAAAAAATGAAACATTCGATATGTTAGTTCTTTGTTTCATCGAAAGGTAAATTGTATTTTAAATTAAAGAAGCACACACATTGATGACCTTGTAATATAAGGAAATTTAGTCTTGACTATAGACCAGTTTCACCGGTAAGTTCTATTATTGGAACGTACTTGGAGATCAAATGTGCACTAGATTCCAAATTTCAACAATGAAAAACCGAAGGCACACCAATAATCAAGCACATTTTTTATAAGTTCTATTTTGCACTTTAATACATAATGTTGTATACTTTTTACCATAAATTTTAAGCTCTATGAGTTCAAGTAATTAAAAATGACAGCTTATATATAATTGTTAAATAAAAAAAAATCAACAAATCAATTGACTAGCAATCAATTTATCAAATTTTGACATATGTTATACTTGGAGATGCTCTTTACTCGTTCGGTTTATTGAACTTATGCATGAAATTACTTACTTCAGCTGTTGTATACATGAAAAATATCTTCATAGTAGTGAATATTATTTCTTCGTTGTCAAGTTTTCATTAAAATATGTTGTCAATTAACCTGTATAATTTGAGTAATAAACGCATATATAGTATTCCCTAGCCATCACTTAAATCCCCCAAACTCGCACCTATGACCTATTCGGTCACATCAATATAATGTTAGTACAATTTTTGTGATGCTACCAAATTAATTTATTGCAATGTGAAAAATATGAAAACTAATGCTCTCTTAAAAATTGTGTTTATGTTCTGCTGTTTTGTCTAAAAAGGCATCATTCATTATGGAAGTTTTTCAGAGGGAAGAATTAAATGGAAGTCGATTCACACACTGTTTATCAAATTTTTTTTTTATTTTTTTTTATTTTTTTATTTTTATTTTTTAAAATAAGGCCTCTCAATGTCAACTTTGATTCAAAGGATATTGATCAAAACTGTTTTTTTTTTTTTTTTTTTTGGCCTCTTAAAACACTATTAGACATTAATAAAGACGAATAAGAAACAAAATGGGGGATTTTTATATCTATAAGATGTTGCATTCGAGTTATTAATGAAAAAACAGAAAACGATCAATATCCAAAATTTTATGGCTATGCCACACTGGTTTTTCTGTTCCTCCTTTTAATTACGCTAAGAAATCTTTGACCATCATTATGCGGGTGTGAATCCGACGCAGTCAAGAAATACCATATTCACTTTTGAGTTGAAAAGGGAATATGATGCTATAAACTTATTATACGGTCGGAATAATTACAATCATATGATAAAATATAATATTTGTACTTTTCTGCGCAACTCTTGTCTTGTCACTCAAAGGCAAGATCACTGTTCTTTAACGTCTATAAGATTGGATAAAGTGCTAATTTTTAAACTTACTATATGGTCAAAACAATTACCATCATACATATTGTACTGATTAGATGCCATGTTTGGTTACCATTACATATAGAAATTTATTGACGTGATGTGGAATCTAATATTATTAATTGTTATAATTTTTTTAATCAACCATTTAATTTATTATAAACCGTCGAATTAAAATTGTATCACTAAAATTATAGTACCTATGAATGAGTAAATATTAGAATAACCATAAAAATCACACCTATATATGAATATGCATTTTATAAAGTACACATGATAAATATACATAATGGAGTTTTCTTCGCAACTCTTGTCATGTCACTCAAAAGCAAGATAATTGCTCTATTTAATTATGCTGTTCTTCATACTAATCAACCATAGTAAATATTCATCTATCTAGGGTTTTTTCTTATTGAGTATATAGTCAACTTTATGCAGAGTTCCTTATAATATAGATGCATATATGACCCGTTTAGTTTACTGATTCGAGTTGAGAAGTGACTTTATGTGAGAGCTTTTTACTGTAGCAAAAAAAGTTAGATGTGACTGTTTCTGAGAGCTTTTTACTGTATCAAAACTCGAGTCGGTGAAATGAATGAGGCTATAATATTATCTTCATCGTCAAAGAGTTTAGTCCAAACTAGAAAGAGGGCATCAACATATGTAGGGTTTTTTGATTGACACGTGTGGTTTCTTTCGATCTGAGGTATATAGAAAGCTAAATTAAAAAAAAAAATCTAGTTAGAATTCCTAATTCTTTATATATTCCAGGATGTATTTTGCAATTTCAATTTGCAACAAGAATCAATTGTACTAAGAGAATATATTTCTCTTGTACATTGGACATCACATCATTTGCTTTTGTAACAATACTAAAAGAATCTTGAGATTTATATAATATTTTGTGTCTCACTTTTTTTACACACAAGATAAGATGTGTAATTTCGGGGCTCTCTTTAATTTGTTATATATTCCTGTTCATGTCAGTATGATGTTATTTTTCCAATTTAAGCAGTGCCTATTGCATTATGTTTGCCTAGCAGTCACGCCTCTAAACACCAAAAAGTGAAACAGAAAAGAAACGACATTACAATTTGGAGTGAATATTATCTCCAATGCAGTTCAAAAGTGAAATTAAACTATTATTCCTCCGTTTGTTTGGCTAATTTAAATTAAACAAGCGGAATTCATTTTACAAAACTCGAAATTATATATTATTCTCTTGCATAAGAAATTTGTGAAAGAATGAAGGGTGCATGGAGGAGGACAATGACCGGTTTTGGGGAGTCTTTCTTAAAAAATAACCGGATTTTTGGAAGATTGAAACAAATGGCCGATTTATAGAGTAATTTATATATGAGATCAACGTCTTATTATAAGTTGTTTTAGTTGTTTGTCAATGGTATTTAAATTTTTTTTGGAAGCAACAAATGTCACCAACAAACACGTAATCAGCTAGAGGAATGCCATTTTTAGAAAGTAAGAATTTATATATATATATATATATATTATTTTTCTAAAAAAAATTGGTTTAATTTTTATAAAAAAGTGGTTATGGTGAATAACTTAACTTTAAAAGTGGAGAGGTGTTCATCTAATTCTATGGAGTTAAGATATGTTGTCCCATTTTTTATGTTTTGATGGTTGTCACTTTATTAATTATTTATCATATTATTTAAATTCAAAAATCTGACCGCAAAATAGAAACAAAATACTATAAATACTTAACAATTCATCAGATGTTAAAATTTAATTGGAGAGATATCCATCCAAACAGGAAAATAGGACATCAAATTTTGATTCTTCAATATGCACCTTTTACCTTAAAACAACCCAATTTAAACATGTATGGATTTGACAAGTTTACATCCAATCCAATCCAAACTTAACACGTTAACCAAACCAATCCATACTTACCATAATTTCTTGATTGGTTACTTGGCTTAAAATTAAATTTCTGAGTTGATTTTTACACTTAGTTGTTTTGTTAGAAAATGCATTTAGAGCAATACATTAAACTTAAAATTCATAGAATCATAATTCAGACACTAGTTTTATAAGTATTGCAATTATTTTACATAAACTAAAAAGTTAAATCCCATATATATTTCAACATAAACTCAAGGGTATTTTGTACATTTTCTCCTTGAATTTGTAAGGTTTTGGCAACTTTTTAAATCCCATATATATTTCAACATAAACTCAAGGGTATTTTGTACATTTTCTCCTTAAGTTTGTAAGGTTTTGGCAACTTACCTCTTAAACTTCTAATTTTACTAGTCGATTCTTTGAACTTATAAAGCTGTTGTAATGTGCCTCATTTTGATGGTGATCATGTTATATTGGTGACGAAGAGCATGGTCATCGAAAAACTCCAACATCTGAATTCTAATCATATCATAAATCTATCAATTTTCTAACTCTCAATTAAAGCTGACAAAAAAATCAACATAAAATTGTCAAAATGAGACGCATTGCAACAATTCTGTAAGTTTGGGGATTAACCATCATAATTCATGGGCCTACACAAAATCATGACAAAACACCAATTATTTTTCTCAGGGTTTGCCATGATTTTGTACAAGCCTATTATTTAACTATTCTAAATAATTGAGTGCCATCATGACGTTTTGTTTTCTCTTTCTTAATTGAATAGAAATTGTTTATTTTTGATGAGTGACATGAATAGCATTTTTGGGCTCATTTATTTCATATACTCAAACTCAAATCGTTGATTCTGTTACAATATTTTTCTCTTATAAAAAATTTAAATTTCATACGTTATAATAAAAAATCATGATTTGAGTATACATTCTAAACCGGCTTTCATTTTTTCCCCAAGTACCGTTCTTAGGGCCGGCAATATGGGTCACGACACGACTCAAAAATGACACGAATTTTGCGGGTTAGGGTTGAGAAAAAAGAGGTTCGGGTCAGAATTGGGTCGACCTGAAATTGACACGAAAAATACGGGTCAATTCGGGTTGGACCTGCCTAACCCGAACACGACATGAAACTTATAAAAAACTAAATAATACATATATTTTTCATTTCATATTTTAAATTTTATTATGAACTTGTGATATCATGATAGTTATACTTAAAATCTTATACTATTATTTGCTTAATTTTAATGGATGTTATTGTAATTTAGTGTGTTATGAATTTTAAGTTATTTCTAATATGTAAAAAACTAAATAAAAGTAGACAATTTTTGTATCAATTTCAGATTCACGGGTTAATTTCGTGTTACGGGTCATTTTCGGGTCGTGTCGTGTCAACTCGTAAAGTGGTCGTGTCGTGTTTGTGTTGCGGTTTTTAAAAAATTTTGTGTCACGGGTCATATTTGAGTTGACTACAAATTTAAAAAAAAATGATTAAAACACGACACATGACACGAATTGTCATCCCTAACCGTTCTCATGGTTTGCCATTTTGTGCAGGCCTGTTAGGCCTCAGTCTAAGAGTGTGGGCTTCTTGGGCCTCTAAAGTAACGGCGGCCCATCTGATTAAAGCCCGGAAGCAACTGGTCTACAGAAGTAAAGTGAAGCATAACGACTAGGCAGGAGATTTTGTATATCGTCGTGCAAACTCCCTCGCTTCACTTCTCTTTGTCGCTCGCTGAAGCCGCTGAACCAGAAGACCCAACCTCAGAGCCTAGAGCCCTAACTCTCTCTCTCTCTCCTACAATGAACTGTGCAAGTGAGCTCTCTCTCTCTCTCTCTCTTCTTTTCAGTCTCTCTACTGGTTTTTCACTTTTCGAAATTTGGCTCATTTCTGTGTTTAATAATACCCGTGTGGTTGATGCTTCGTCCGTTCAGTTTCCGGTGAGGTGCCGGAGGAGCCTGTCGTCTCCGCGAAGTCTGGATTGCTCTTCGAGAAGCGTTTAATCGAGAGACACATATCGGTAGGTTTTTTTTTTTTTTCCTTTTTTTAAATATGTTGATTTCTAGGGTTTTTGTTTGCTTAGTGGGAAAATGTCGGAAAGTGAAGGGAGAAAAAACTCGTAATTTTTTTCTCCAAAATTGTACGTTTTTCTCGCTTAGTTTGTCGAGTTTTGTTTCGGAATTGAAGAAGGAAAATAAGTGAAAGAGGACGAAGAAAAGAAATGGAAACACGTTTGATCGCGACCGGTCAATTTACTTGGATATCTAGAAATGGTGATCTTTTTCCTTGAAAAAGGAAGATACGACAGTTTGAATATTGAGTTTTCAGCTGCACATGACTTGAGAATTAGAATTCCCTTACCAACGAATTGAGATCTGTTTTTTCGACTGAATTTTTTGGTCGATTCCTTTTGCACATTAAGGGTGTTTTACTTCGCATCAAAGGGAAAAGTAAAAGGAGTTTTGTTTCCTGATTTAATCACGTGTTTGTGGACAAAGTTGAGAATGCGCATTACACAATATACAGAATGAGGAAAGAGAATGAATGCTAAATATACTCATATACCCTTGTTACGTTTACATTTTGTTAGTAAATGGTGGGTTGATTACGTAAAATGTAGTAATTATGTAGATAAGATTCTTATTCCTAAGCTCAGTAAATACTTGAAAGGGACTTGAATTGTTTCCCATTCCACTCTCTATTTTTTAATAGGTAAGTAAACACTAGAAAATAATCAATGATTTCTGTTCTTATGCCTTTACTTTCCATTTTGATCTCATCACCTTTCTCGTTACATTCCTTTATGATTTGCCAAACATGCCCTTAGAAACTATTACTACAATGCAAGCAAGTTCGTGCTTCTAGATTTTATCTTTCATCTGTTTGAAAGCCAACCAAAGGTTATAGAATTCCCACCGTTGACTTGGTTCAACCAGGAATCAGGAGAAACAAATATATCTCTCCCTAAATGAAGTGTTAAAGAAGTTTAGATAGATTGACCCTTTGCTGGAGAATCAGCAACGTGTCAGGATCTTACTTATTTTTCTTTGTTCTTTTGGACAAGAGAGAAAATAAATAAATGCACAGAGTCTAGTATCTGACTTGGGCCATGTTTTAGTGTTCGGACTGATAACACTTTGTTACGTTCTGTTATCTGACTAGGATTATGGAAAATGCCCAATAACGGGTGAACCACTCACAATGGACGACCTTGTTCCAATCAAAACAGGCAAGGTATGTTCATGGTTATTTACCCCCCCTTTTTTTTTCATGCTTTACCTTTTCTTTGCTGTTCTTATTCATTTCTGCATGTGAGGCCCCTTTGGAAACCCCTTGGGCCTACACTCTAGAATGGATTGTAGCTCATTCCATCTTTGTAGAAGATGAAATTTTGGTTCTCCAATATGATGCCTAAGATATTCAAATTGTTATAAGTAGTTCGTGCCCTGTCATCAATATAAACTCTTCTGTTGATTTACTTTGTTTTGGCTTGTAATGCAGATAGTGCGGCCAAGACCTGTGCAAGCTGCTAGCATCCCTGGCATGCTTGGGATGTTCCAAACTGTATGTGTTTTTGCCTTTGAAACTTTCTATATTTTTCTTCACATTTTTAGTTCTTAAAATATGACATTAAAGGCTTATAAGATTGATTGGTTAATGTTGAAAACTTTGTACGGAAATGCAAGGGGTGTGAGGAGAGAGATAAAAAAAAAAGTGGAAAGGGATGAGCTCAATGCCATAGGAGACATGCTGGCAATAAATTTGGGTTTCACCACCAATAGAATTCCGCAAGCCTTAAATTTGGATAGCTAGGTTAATGTTATTATCTCCTACCTTTTGGTTACCTTACAGTGATTATTGGTTTATGTTATTGATCTACGCTTCATTTTTAATCTCAAAAGCAATTTCCAATTTTCCAGTCTTATATAATGTATTATGGAGTAAGTCTTTTTCATTTATTTTCTTTTCATTGAAAATAGGAATGGGATAGTTTGATGCTATCCAATTTTGCATTGGAGCAACAGCTACACACTGCAAGACAAGAGCTAAGTCATGCTCTATACCAGGTATCCTTGGAATAAAAGTTAATATTCTTTTTTCTATTTGCATTTACTAGAATATTCATCCTGCACAATTTTGCTTGATTCAAACAATGTATGTACACAAGCGTCAGGATGTACTTAATAGTTTCAAATGCGATTCAATGTATGCCCTCTTTCATGGTTCTTTGTATTATAGGTCTATATAACTGATGTTAAATGTGCTCAATATTCTAGTTCTCGTTTGTGGGTTTTCTCAATTATGTTTGAATGTTTCTGCTGCTAAATTGATTGCACCAATTCTTATCTTATTTTAGAAACCAGAAAAAACCTGGGTTCATGTAAAGAGACACCTTAACGGACAAAATGGAAATTGCAATAGTTGCTTTCTTGATAATTGCCTTCAAACTATTGGTTGAGGTCTTCTCTGATTTCTCATTTGCGATCAGTAATGATACTGTGACAGGGAACAACTTTTATGTATTTGGATCTCTGTACAACTATTGCAAGCTCATCTTTCAGTGTTCTATTTGTTAAGGATGGGCTTTCCAAACCATTGCTTCAATATTTATTTTTTGTTTATTTATAGTCCAATGTACGGATCCTTGTTTTGAATTGCACTTTGCTATTTTCATTTTCAACGGGACCTCATTGGGTTTTTCATCAATGGTCTTTTTCACTTGTTGATTGCTGGAAAAAAATGGGAACTTCCAGTTTGTTATGCCTGGTTTTTTATTTATTCGTTGTGTGTTGGCAGCATGATGCTGCTTGCCGTGTGATTGCAAGGCTGAAGAAAGAAAGAGACGAAGCACGATCACTACTTGCTCAGGTTGAGAGACATGTACCAATGCCAGCATCAGCGCCGATTGTAGTAAATGCTGTTGGCAATGGGAGAACAGGTTCTTAGTTTTATATTTTTGTGGTAAAGTTAGTGTAACTGGAAAGCTGGACTAAGTTTAGCTTAGTAGTCACTTGACTTGTTAAATTTCTTCTGTAGCTGCTGTTGATGGAGTGGGCCCTGGTGGAAACAATATACGTCCTGGAATATCTGCTGGTGTATTTGAAGAGCTCACCGAATGCAATGCTGCTCTTTCACAGCAGCGGAAAAAACGGCAGGTATCATATGTGACTGATAATATTTCATTTTACAGATGATTTTGCTTTTATCATACTGAGATTCTCAGGTTTATTCAATTGCCTGGTCTTAAGTAGGAAGTGATTGTGAGTGCAGTTTCTTTGTCGTTTATTAGAGATTTCTTAACTCTGTTTTTCTTTTCCCCCGGGATGCATTTGGGTCCTGTAGATACCCTCAACATTGGCTCCTGTTGATGATTTAGAGAGGTATACCCAGATATCTAGTCATCCGCTTCACAAAACTAGCAAACCAGGCATTGTGTCTATTGATATACATCACGAAAAGGTACGAAATTCTTCTATTTGGATTTTGTGTGCAGTGTCAAGATTCTAGTGGAATGGTATCATTATCATAAATAATTAAAACGTTGTATAGTTCGCTGATCACAGCCCTTTTTTTCTTTGGAGTATCAGGACATTATTGCAACTGGTGGCATTGATACAAATGCTGTAATTTTTGACCGCTCATCTGGAGAAATCCTATCTACTCTTAATGGTCACTCAAAGAAGGTTTATTACTTAGTAGATTGTTTTGTTGTTATACCAAAACAAAAAACAAAAAAAAAAAAAAGGAAGAAGAACCCTGTAGTTTGTATAGTTTAAGGCCTTTTATTCTCAGTAAACTTGTTGAATAGTTGCAACTTTTCTTTTGGTAGGTTACCAGTGTAAAATTTGTGGCTCCGGATGACCTTTTCTTGACTGGGTCAGCAGATAAGGTAAACCACGTTTCATCTTTTTACCTCTATTTTGACATGGATATGATGGTTGGATTCAATGAACTAAAATGAACGCATAATTTATTTATTCAACTAAGATCTTTAAAGCCCTTAAATTTTTAAACTCTGTTATATGTTCCATGCCATTCTTTGAATATGGGTTTTACCGTTGTTGTAATCATTATATCATAGCTATCTTGATGTTGCAGACAGTGCGTATATGGCAAGGATCTGATAATGGGAACTATATTTGCAACCACGTTCTGAGAGATCATAATGCTGAGGTAAATATGTTTGAAATCACGTCTACAGACACACACACACATTAGAACCAGTTTGACTTATTGAATTATGAAGCCATGGCCTATCCTTGTTACCAAGTTTGCTACCCTGGGTAGACAATGTGTTGGAAATGATTTGTAGAGATGAACAATGAGTGCCTAAAAAGAGCGAAGGAAAGATAAACTTTCCTGGAATTGGGAATTTATCAACAGATGATGAATTGATTCCTTATGATCTTAGTACTCAAATTTAGAATGATCATATATTTATCCATTGGTTGCTTGAAGAATTATGTAGAAAGAGTCATGGTTGTGGAATAAATATTTGAAGCTCTATCATTAAGTTAAGAATAACAGATGAAGAGTACCTGTTAGGGCATACGCGTTGCATTTCTACAAAGTTAATCAGGGCAGTTTAAGAGTACCTGTTAGGGCATATGTTGCATTCCTATAAAGTTAATTAGAGCAGTATGTTTACCCTGTAATGGAGAGAGAAAATTTCTTATATAAGCTTGTGTAGTATGACTATCACGCATAAGCAATGCTACTGTTGAGCTATCTATGCGCATCAGAGGGCTTAATATTTGCGGTTCATTGTCTATTTATTCTCATTTCTCATGCTGTCTATTTATGTGCTCTTTTTTCCTTGCTAGAATTTTAGTTTTATTTATAATTATCTCTAATTTTGAGTTTTATGATTTAGGTGCAAGCTGTTACGGTCCATGCCACAAATAACTACTTTGTGACTGCTTCTCTTGATAAAACATGGTGCTTTTATGAGCTTTCTTCTGGATTGTGTCTTACACAGGTTTTGGCATATCCCTCCCTCCTAACCTTCATCTCCAAAACTAGGATGAATTCTTTTAATTTTTTAATATATATATATATATATATATGTATAGTATTTCGTTTTAGTCTTCATAGAATATTCTTCTATTGAAAGGATATCATACAATAGATAGACTTATTGTTCAAAGGCCGATAGAAATTTGTAAATGCACTGTTACAGCACATTGCAAGATGAAGAGTGGAAAATCTTCATAAAATTCTGGAAGTTATCTATATCTATATCTAGTCACCTTATTCTAAACACAGGAAAATGTTTGTAGTATGGTTGTATTTGTATCTCTCTCTCGTGCATGAGTAGATGACTAAATGTAACTCTCTCATTCTTGCAGGTTGAAGACACTTCAGGAACTGAGGGCTACACGTCTGCGGCATTTCATCCCGATGGTCTCATCCTTGGAACAGGCACCTCCGAGGCACTTGTTAAAATTTGGGATGTGAAAACTCAGGTTAAGAGTTATAAGTTATTTTCAACCTTTAGTTTGCTTTCATATCTTTTTGACCTCGCTTCATTTACTATCTGTTTACAGACAAACGTTGCCAAATTTGATGGACATGTTGGAGCAGTAACTGCTATATCTTTCTCGGAAAATGGTTACTTCCTTGCGGTAGGTGTTCTTCCAGAAGATTAAAGTGGATATAGAGTGATAACATCATATCGTGATTTGTTATCTCTGAAATGAACAGACTGCAGCTAGTGATGGTGTAAAGCTTTGGGATCTGCGCAAATTGAGGAACTTCAGGACATTTGCTCCTTATGATCCAGAGACGCCAACAAATTCTGGTATGTTTATTTCTATGGCATACCCTAAATGATGATGTTAGCTCTGTGGAAGCTAATTGAATCAATTCAATGATGATCTTTAACGAGTTTCTCATTTTTCTCTCTCTAGTGGTGCTGTGTTTGCTCATGTTTTCTGGTTATGTACTTTATTGTTGTCTTTTTTTTTTTTTTTTTGCAAGGTGTCTGTTGATGGTGCTCTGTGGATAATTTATTTGTATTTTTAGTTCCAATGTTATGCAAGTTTTTTCTTTGTATGATGGTAGCTGTTCTGGTTTTGCAGTTGAGTTTGACCATAGTGGTAGTTACCTTGCACTTGCGGGTTCTGATATAAGGTGAGTATTGAAAGACTCCCAGCTTTAATTTGCTTTGTGCTTCTAGTCCTGACAGTTTCTGACTGAGTGATGTTGAAATAAGCTTCCCAGTAGGCCGGTGATAATTTCCTATTGCCTTTATTATACAATATTAGAGCTTGGATGTGTCGGTGTGATCGATGTATTGTATCTCATGTCTATGAATCATCTACATTCCCAACTTAGAGCCACCACCTTGAAATAACTAGGCCTTCATATAATTCAATTCTGAGGTGGTCCTAGACTCCTGGTGAAACTTGATTCATCCCAGATCCGAATGTTGCTTAACTAAGTTTTCTTTTTTAATCATGACATACTTAAAGATCACGTATCTGGGTGAGTATAACCATCTAAGTTATTGACGTCAGACTGGGATAGAATTGAGAATAGAGTTAGAATTGAAAGAGAAGAAGAGAGAATCACGAGGAAAAATAGAACCAGAATAGAGATGGGAGTAGAACCGGAGAAATGAAACAAAGGATTCAAGAGGAGGAAACTGGAAAATCAATATTAATTAATCATCAAACTCTGATATGAAATTACATTCACTAAGGTATGTATTAAAATCCAAAACTAATTAGATAAACTCGAGTAAATAATTTAAATAATCCTAGAGATAAACACAAGTTAGATTTAAAATTAAGTACTTGACATAAAATGTATTGAAAGAGACACAAATTCAAATTGAAATTTCTAATCTTTGCTCTGCATCAATTATCCAGTAGAATGCAGAAAACTTAAAATTGAATAAGTTGCAATTTCTGGATCTTTTACCTGGGAAAACACTTTAAATTTAGTGTTACCTGTGAAAACACTTTAAATTTAGTGTTTCCGAAATAACAAACTATACTCCATTTTTCTAGTATTATCTAGTTGATCATACTATACAGTACTAACTTTTAGGATTCTACTGCTGCAGGGTTTACCAGGTTGCTAATGTGAAATCAGAATGGAACTGTATCAAAACTTTCCCTGATTTGTCGGGCACAGGTATGACCTTTATTATTAGCAGTAGCTTAAAATGTGGTTGATTTTTTTTTTTTTTTTTTTTTTTTTTTTTTTTTTTAATGTCAGTAACATCCCAATTTGGTCTTAGAGGGTTAAATTAAGCTTTATTTTTCCAATAAAGTAACATCCTAATTTGAATTCAGGTAAAGTTACTTCAGTGAAATTTGGTCCGGATGCAAAGTACCTTGCAGTGGGATCAATGGACAGAAACCTTCGCATTTTCGGCCTACCTGGAGATAATGATGTAATGGAGTCTTGAAGCAAACTTAAACTTGCCCAAATCTTGGTATTGCACTGTTTTGCTGTGCCTCTAGTTTCTGTTACCTTTAGTGCTGATTCATGTTTTTGGGACTTGATGCCGACATTCTCATTCGTTGGCCCTGTTCCGGTAGTTCTGAAACAATGAACAGGATGATGGCAGGTCTCAAAGCCTGCATTTTGGCATAGCATGCGGCAGCTACAATTGCAGTTATCAGCTGAGTTGTGACATTCTTTTAAATAGCCAGTGTTAGAACTTAGGCACATGCTCTCTTGTACTATGATCTTATTTTGTTATTTGTTCGTCTTCAAATGTACTATGGCCAGACAGATGTTAAATATACAGAGTATGCAGTTTCTTAAAATGGTGAAATGGGCTTATTATCTATCGATGTTTGTTTCTGAGTGCCTTGGTGCACCGGTAATTTTACCTGAGTAATGGCTTCATTAGCCAATTTGGGTTGAACTTACTAAATATGCTCCATGAAAAAATGTGACAAGAACGTACAGCTTTCTTCTTCTTCTACTACTACTACCTTTTTTTTTTTTTTTTTTTTTCAAGGTAAGATCAGCTTTTAGATACGAGTGCTACATTTCCACGCCTCAGAAAATGCATATATTGAGGATATTTTTTTCCCCCTCGCGTAAGCTTAGCTATTAATTTGATTTGAGCAGTAACATAAACATATTTGTCCATATTTATCTTCCAACGGAGCCAAATATGAATGTGGAAATTATGCATATTTATTCACACGTTCATGGCAATAATTTAAGAAAGCTGAAAAGAAAAACTGAAGAGGTGTAGCTTATAGACCATGACAAATGAGAATTAAATTTGCAAAAGAATTTACAGTTGCAGCTGTCTTCTGCTAGCACCATGTCATGTAATATGTTTCAATCTGAAACAATCTGAATAGTCTATTCTAGGCACTAACATGAAAAGTTAACAAAAGTAGAACAACAAACGCCACAAATACTATGAGCTACAACACCATATCTAACAATTTAGCCAAGAGAGTAAAAGAGATTAAATAAAAGCCCTGCAGCATCTAAAAGGTAGGCCAAAAACATGAAAAGTGAAGCAAAGGAACAAGGAATCCGATCACGAAACTAGGTAAAACGCAGAAGACATCTCAGCGTTGTGTCAAGTGAGGTATTGCGAGGCATGCGTAAAACCCCATAGCTGCAAAAGCAAAAAAAAAAAAAAAAAAAAAAAAAAAAAAAAAAAAACCAAAGATCCAATTGATATGCCATGATAAATTGAACTGTTTTATATCGCATCAAATATTCATAGCAAATGTACAACCGTTAATATAAAATGGAATAATACCGTTAAGTATAAAACGGAAGGATGCAACATGGTAGGCCAAATGCCAAACAAATGCGTAAAGTATACGTAACTACAAATTACTCAAAAGTCAGAAAAGATGATGACAATGAGAGAGTATAGTGATGATACGGAACATAAAATGTGAAAGTGTTTTGAAAAGCGAGAAGTACCTCAACATTCTTCAACTCAAACTCGGGTTTATGAGCCAAGCACATGTTTCCAAACGTTTCACAAGGTCCACTGGTCCCATTTAAGCTTTAGAAACAAGAGTTCACAACCACGAGAATGAAAGAATGAGCATTTCAATTCATCACACAAGTGGAAATTAAACCGAGACTCAGATATACAAGAAAAGCAACTTACAGGTCCCCATCCAAGCACAAAGCAAAGTTGCCACCGGCACCAAGTGCAAGCTGGTCGTCTAGACACAGGTAATAATACCTGTTGGCACCTATTTGGACAAATCAGGTAAAGTTTTAGGAATAAACTAAGAATAAAATAAATTAGCGGCAGTAGATAACTAGATATCGATATCTAGATGTCCATGCATCATAGCAGGCTAAGCTGTATACAGAAGATAGTAATTTTCAAATTTTGGAACTTCCTTCAGCACTAGAAGCCAAATGCTAAGAAATTCCAGGACCCTAACATCAGAAAGCTTCCAAAAACAAATGAGAAGAACGACAAGAATGAGTTTGTGATCAACTGGCTGACCAAATACATACTCCTATTGTCTCTTTTCTTGATGAAGAATATGATATCAACTGTTGAATCTAACTGGCATGCCAAAAAGAGAACATCCATAAAAGTGCTTACCAGTTGGTCTAAATAGCCTTGGCTCACCATATATAGTTGTGAAAACAAATGTTTGGTTTGTCCCCTGGAATTAATAGAAGATAAAAAAGGTTTAAAAAAAAAAGCAAAACTCGCAGATCAATCACAATAAGAGAAAAGAAAGACACTTTAGTGTGTTAACTAACTTGAAATTTTCTCTGCGCCGTAGGTTTCAAGGGGCAATCTAGAAGACCACCAAAAACAGCACCTTGCTTATCTCCAACAATCTAGAAAACATAAACACTAAACATTATCATCCCAACTTTGTTAACAATCGAATTAATGACTTAACACAGAGGCATCGGCATACCAGCAAACAAGGACCAGAAAGCTCAGCACTTCTGCGGATAAGCGTACGGAGTGATATACCATGTTTCAACGTACTGCCCTTCATTTTAAAGAATCAATATTCAATAAGAACCAAATGCTGAAAGAACAAAAAGGCCAATTTAGCTACAGGCTATATCAATTTTAGTAGTTTTACCTATAAAGTAAGACCCATTGGCACCCTTTAACAATATTTGGAATCGATGAAAACAAGAATTCGTACAAGTCTGGGGAAATGAAAACAGATTCGTCCATGAGATTGCATAAGGACGCCTTCTGCAAACTAAGATGGTCAACTGCTTCTTCGAACACCTCAGAACAACTTGTGCTACCGCCGGAGGCCTTCGCGTCAAGGATTTCATCTTTCGCCTGGTCACTTTGTGTTTCTTTCTTCTCCTTTACTGTATTACTACATGGTGTATGACTATCCAATAATTCATCTTGACATTTTAAATTTCTGCTTTTATATCTAAGGGGAAGGGATGGAATCAGCTTGAATTCATGCTGATGCTTGTCTGGTCCAGAACCATCAAAGCCTATTGAAGGGATAATGTAGGAGAAATATGAGGTCAAAGATTTTCCCCCATTAGAATATGGCCTGGCCTACACATTTACAAGACGTAACATCACAACTTTATACATATTAACTGGAAAAGAGGCCATAAATATTCATTTGGCCAATTGGAATATATTTCACACTTAAATACAAGCACTTAGACAAGGATAATTCTCTGAAGGGCATGAAGAGGGGGAAAAGAAGAAAAAAGAAAAAAAAAAAACTATTGGTAACATAGTTCTGGTCAGATTTCATCAAGTTACGTTAAATTGTCGTACTTTTTAAAATTATGATCTGAACGTTTTAAAATTGTGTCCTACTTTCATACCTTTCACAAAATTCTCCTTCAAAAAAAAAAAAAAAAAGATTTGCAATAGAATTAAGTAGTTTTCTCCACATAGAGACCATAACAATATTGAAGAAAAGCATAAAGCTTAATTTTTTATCTCATGGGCGGATCAAAAACTCCAAAAGGCCAACGACCCACCAAGGTTTATTGGATGAATATGAAAAATAAAAGGGAAAAAACCTCCAAATCACCGGAAAATTCGTATTATTGCTCCTCCAATAAGATATTAAGCAATAAAAATGAAAAGTAAAACAAAACCAGAGCAAAAATACACAATTCATCAGCTAACAAAATTGCCACAAACACCCAGATCTCAAAATCCTCGGGGGAACAAAAAAAAAAAAAAAAAAAATAAAAATAAAAATCCCAGTTTACCCATCAAGCTCAAGTTTTTAACTGCCAAAAATAAATGAAAGTGATTGCATTAGGCATTGCATATAAATAAATTACCTGATTCTGAGAAGAAGAGTTTTCGGAATCACGAAAGAGACGAGAAAACTTCTCTGAAACTTTCTCTTTCAATGAATGCATTGAGAATAATATCCTCCAGAGGAAGGAGAAGAATTTGCAGAGTGGTGAATCTCAGGGGTTCCTTCTTACTTGCATTATATTTTTTATTATTTTCTTTGGTATAAATTGTATTCTTGTGATTTAATTTAATTTATTTGTTTGTTTGTAAAGAGGAGCAAAAAAGGAAGCGTCGGTGAGGGGGAAAAGGAAAGGAAAGACGGGTGGCAGAGACAGCAATCAACGGGGAAATGAAGGCTTGTTTTGGTGGGGGACTCTGCTTTTTTTTATTGTACAAAACACCCTTTTCTTTCTTTAACTTTTCTTTTCTTTTGTTTGTTTGTTTTTTTTTAAAAAGAGGGCTAAATTTTTTTTAATAGTTAAATCTGCACATTTTTTAATTTTACGTGTTTATATGCGATAAAAACTTGACAAAGAGAGTAGAGATTTCTATTTACAAGTGTTATGTGGGAAACTGTGCCGGACACCTGGACGAGCGATAGTGCGACACGTGGCCTTAACTACTCCCCGCCAAGCAACAACGCTCGACGTCTACAGCTCTAAAGAGCCCAAGCACGAATCCCAACTCAGGGCGACGATTCCTTCTGGCGTCGACTGATCGTGCTGTCGAGCGTAAGGCACAAAGATCCCTCGACCGCATAATCGACTACCAAGAAGGACGATTGGGTTAAGCGGCGTCACTGGCGACGAAGGGAACGTTTTCTAGAGGACGTGGCAAGTTGCGTATAAAGGTGGGAGACGTCAGCAGGCATTAATTGCAAGCTCTTAAACTGCCCCACAGGGGACAGGATAGTGTTACAGGGGCGCACAGAGCCGTAATGAAAGACTAATTGGCTGAGTGAACAGTGCTGATTAGTGGGCTACATCTGGGCCTAAAAAGGGAAAGCACTTAAGTGCTTCTGCCTAGGAGGGAAACCCACCTAGCGAAGAAAGCTCAATATAAAAGAAGGAAGACCCCCTACGAGGAGGGGGTTCAGATCCAAGAAGAGGAAAAAGGAGAGTGAGAGATAGCAATTGATGTAAATTGTAAATCCCCTCAAAAAGAAATATACAACCACAGTGGATGTAGCTCAAATTTTACAGAGTGAACCACTAAAAAATTTCGTGTCTTCTTTATCTATGCACATCCCAAAACAATAAACTTTCACACACATTCAACACATAGGCCGGTAATCCAAAGGGAAACCAAGAGGTAACCCGGCCGGTTTTTGTTGACGAGAAACCACCGTCAACAATTGGTGACTCCGCTGGGGAATGAAAGCGTTCGACCCCCAACAACATAGTTAGCAAGCGCGCCTCTAAGAGAGATAGACGGAACCGCCATCCATCCAGGGAATAGTGGGATGGAAGGAGATCTACACCCGGTCGGAGATGAAGTTCCACCCCCAGACGCGCCACGGCCGGATCCTGTGCAGATGCAGGCCCAACTGACCACTCTAACTGAGCTGGTACGTGGGCTGATGACCGTGGTTGAGCGCTTAGATGGGAGGAACTCTATGCCGCCGTTAGAAGATGCCCCGAGGCTGCAGGAACCTGCCATGGCTGGAAACCCGAACCCCGGGGACCACCCATGCATCCAAGAGGGAACCGGGGACAGCGAGAATCATCGGGGCCCTCCTAGGCCTCGGCCTTCCCAATCCTCTGGCAGCTGTTTAAGGGCCGCCGGACTCTGAGCTCCCGAGGACCAGGCACCAAGGGGTCCGGGAAATCCTGAGGTATTACCCCAGAATCCAGGAGGAAACCCGCTAGGAGACTCGGGATCAGTACATGCGGGCGGCCAGGCCATGGGTGGACCTAACGCTCAGAGGGCAGAGGCATCGAGAGTAGCTGGCTCGGCCATTTCAACAGAAGAAGCACGCACCATCATGGAACGTATGGCCAGCCTGGAGCAAAAACTGACGGGGGACGTGGCAGGTCTAAAAACGAACATGGGGTGAGTGGCTGAGGTGGTAAACGTCGACATCACTCCCAGCCGCACACATGACCATCCGTTTATCGAAGAGATAATGGCGCCCCTTCTCCTCGATAAATATAGATCGCCGTCGATCCCACCATATGATGGTCGAGGGGATCCCGACGACCATTTGGAGATGTACACAGGGCACATGCTCTTGCACGGGTATGCTGAGGAGATCATGTGCCGAGCCTTTCGGAACCATTTGACGGACTCTGCTCGAAGATGGTTCCGGACGCTGAGGCCAAACTCTATCTCGAGTTGGGATGAGTTGAAGGAAGCATTCTCTCTCCAATTCATAGGGGTTAAAAAGTACGTCCCCCCGAAGCAGAATCTGACGGCAATATATCAAAAGTCAAACGAGTCATTAAGGGAATGGCTCGCGCGATATGGCGAAGCGGTCGCCGCCACGACGGATATAACAGACAGAGAGGCCTTGATGGGGGCCTTATCTAGCATGAAGAAAATTACCCCCTTCAAAAGAGAGCTGAACCGGAAACCCCCGTCCAGCTACAGGGAATTTCTGGCACGAGCGCAGGGGTACATCTACGCCGAAGAGGCGGACGCAAATGACCCCGAGCACAGGTCCAACAAGAATAAAGGAACCGAGCAAGGGTCGACGCCTGTGAAACAAGACAGGAAGAAGCGTCGAGGTGGAGGAAGCGGAGATAAGTAGCCAGCTGCGACGACGAGCGCTCCAGAAGCCAAGCCGAGGCAAGAGGATACCCGTAAGCCTCGACTGTTCCAAAAATACGATTCCTACCAAGAGCTAACGGTAGGAGTCGAGGAGGTCTTCAATCAGGTAGGCCGTGGGAACTTGCTGCACCGACCGGAGCCAATGAAATCAGATCCCAGTCGAAGGAACCAAAAGAAATTCTGTAGGTTCCAAGGTGACGTCGGCCACCACACCAACGATTGCGCCGACCTTAAGGATGAAATCGAGAGGGTGATCCGCGAGGGAAGGTTACAAGAGTTCAGGGCCGAACGGAGACCTCGAAATGACGGCCACGGTGGGCAAAATGATGGCCGACGCCGAGAGGAGAATCAGCGTCCAGAGGATCGCGAACCCGTCGGCGTCATACAGACTATCCTCGGTGGCCCCTATATAGGAAGAGACTCAAGGAGGTCTCAGAAGGACTACGTCCACGAGGCTAGGGGGGTTTACCAGGAGCGATTCTGGAGCGTCTCCGCTGTAAAAACCCCAAGGTACAGCCACACCGATGTAACCTTTAATGAGGACGACGCCAGCGGAGTTCACTTCCCCCACAACGACGCATTGGTGGTGGAAGCCATGATAGGGAACCACACCGTGTGCCGAATCCTGGTAGACAATGGGAGCTCGGTGGACCTCCTATACTCCGACTGCTTGGAGAAAATGGGGATAAAAAAGGAACAGTTGGAAAAGACCTCCAAGCCACTATATGGTTTCACCGGGGACTCCGTCATCCCCCAGGGGACCATCCGGTCGCCCATTATCGCTAGAGAGAAACCCCGACAGGCTACCACAATGGCCAACTTTGTGGTTATAAAGGGAGGCTCCTAGTACAACGCCGTAATTGGGAGACTAACCCTCCAGGCGCTAAGGGTCATAACTTCCGTCTACCATCAAAAGGTCAAGTTCCCTACCCCAAATGGCATGGGCGAGATAAAGAGCAACTAGTACGAAGCTAGGGTTATATACTCCGATGCCTTGCGCAGATATGACCAGTCGGGAAGACATGAGGCTAGGGTGGTTTATCAGAACCCCATCGAGGACATAGACCCCAGGGTTCAAGAGGAGGTCACATGGTCTCAACCCATTGAGCAATTAGTGGAAATTCAAGTTGATGAAGGCGAGTCCACCAAAGTGTTGAAAATAGGCTCAGACTTAGCCCCATCGCTTAAAATTGAGATCGAGAGCTTCCTCAGGAAAAACTTAGATGTCTTCGCTTGGAATCACGCTAACATGGAAGGGATCGACGTCGACGTTATATGTCACTCCCTAAACGTCGACCCCTCATATCCTCCCAAACGCCAGAAGCGTCGACCAATGAACCCCGAGAGATATGAAGCGCTGAGAGAAGAGGTCGACAAACTAATCAACAATAGGTTCATCAGGGAGGCCCATTACCCACGTTGGGTCTCAAACCCCATTTTGGTAATCAAGCCTAACGGAAACTGGAGAACATGCGTCGACTTCAGCGATCTCAACAAAGCATGCCCAAAGGATGGCTTCCCACTCCCTCGAATAGACCAGATGGTCGACGCCACGGCGGGACATGAGACGCTAAGTTTTATGGATGCCTACTCCGGGAACAACCAGATCCCCATGCATCCAGCCGACGAGGAGCACATGTCCTTCATAACCGACAGGGGCCTCTACTGCTACAAGGTGATGCCTTTTGGCCTGAAGAATGCGGGGGCTACCTACCAGAGGCTTGTGAATAAGATGTTCGCTCATCAGCTCAGCAAAACCATGGAGGTCTACGTCGACAACATGCTTGTAAAAAGTGCTAGGGCCAGACAACACGTCGACCATCTGGATGAAATGTTTAGTGTATTGAGAAAGTACCACATGAAACTAAATCCCCAGAAGTGTGCCTTTGGAGTTGGGTCAGGGAAATTCCTCGGTTTTATGGTCAGCAACCGAGGGATAGAAGCTAACCCTGAGAAAATTAAAGCCTTGCAGGATATGCGATCCCCATCCAAGCCAAAGGAAGTGCAAAGGTTGACAGGATGTGTCACCGCCCTGAACAGATTTATATCAAAAGCAACAGACAAATGCATCCCCTTTTTCGACGCTTTGAAGGGAAGCAAGCGTTTTGAGTGGACACCACAGTGTGAAGAGGCCTTCCAGGGATTGAAGGAACATTTAGGCAGGCCCCCAATTCTGTCAAAACCAAACCCCGACGAGGAGCTTAGCCTATACCTCTCCGTGTCCCAACATGCCGTAAGCTCTGTATTGATACGATAGGAAGAAAGGGTGCAATTGCCAATCTACTATGTAAGTAAGAGGCTCCTCGACGCCGAATCAAGATACAGCGAAATGGAGCACTTAGCCCTCGCCTTGATGGTGGCTTCAAGAAAGCTTCGACACTATTTCCAATCTCATACCATACGAGTTCTTACAAACCACCCATTGAGACAGGCTCTACAAAAGCCCGAAACTTCCGGTCGACTCCTCAAGTGGTCGGTAGAACTAAGCCAGTTTGACATAAAATATGTGCCAAGAACTGCGATCAAGGGCCAAGCGTTGGTAGATTTCTTAGCCGAGTTCTCCCATAGGCCAGCTCCCACCATGCCTGAA